TTTTATTAGCATAAATCTGTTGGTGGTTGCCGCCTCTAAAATCCTCTGGGCATGGACTGCGTAATGTTTGCTCTCATTGTATGCCAGAATGCAGTGTGGAAGGCAAGTAACAAATACTTGTTAAATGAATGAATACATGAAAGATGAAGGTAAAATGTTTAAAAGGGGACACCGTTGATTTACATGTATCAGGGAAAGTAAGTGAGGTAGGCTGGAAAATGCCTCCCCCCACCTCCTCTGGAAAAAAAAAGATAATCAGTGTTCTAATCCCAGGAAACTGTGACTATTACCTTCTATGGTGAAGAACTTTGCAAAATTGAAATGGAGAGATTGTCCTGGTCTAACTGGGTAAGCCATAAGAAAATCCTATTTATAAGAGGGAGGCAGAGACAGACAGAAGAGAAGGCAGTGTGACCACAGCGGCAGAGATCGGAGTGATGGAGCTACAGGCTAGGGAATATCCACAGTCAACAAGAACGCCAAGAGGCAAGAAGTAAATTCTTTCCTAAGACCTCCAGAGGGAGCATGGCCCTGCCAACACCTGGGGTTTGGCCCAGCGAAACTGATTTTGAACTTTCTGGCTTCCAGAACTGTAAGAATGCATCTGTTGTTTTAAGCCACCAAATTTGGGTTATTTTGTGAGAGTAACCATGGGAAACAAGTACAGTAAGAGATGTGAATCCAACACTAAAATACAAGGCAACAGGTGATCAAGTGCTGTTCTGTCGGGAAGAAGTTTAGCACAATTGTCATAAGAGCTCAGAGGAGAAAGTACAGGTAGGAAGAGGAACGCGATGGGCTATCCTTGAATTTGGGAGGGAGGGGGCTCTCTCATGTTGAAAAATCTGCCTACACAAAGGAGGAGTCCGAAGATTAAAAAGCACCTCAGTTGAACAAAATGCAGTGATTTCATGCAGTGAATAAACAATGTGGGCTTTAGTGACGTGAGCTAAGAGAGGAAGGGCGTGGATCAGACAGTAGATGATTTAGAATATCAAGCCTGGATGTGCGTTTTGTTTTGTCAGTGATGGAGAATCATGGAAAATTTTGACGCAAAGCATGACATGATCAGAGTCCTGCTTTAGGAGAATAAGTGTGGCAGGTGTGTGGTTGGTGGAATGGGTAGGCAAGACTTGAAATTACAGAGATCAGTTAGAGGGGCTACTGCAGTGATTTAGGAAAGAGGAAAGGAAAGCCTGAACTAAATTTGGGGGCAGTGGGGATATTTTATGAACAAATTAATGGCTTCAGGATATCCAGTAGGGAGATCCCTGGGTAGAAAGCCAGATGACCTGGCTTTTTAGTGAAGCAATCACAATTTAGAAATAAAAAGTATTTATTTTCTCTGACCATCATGAGAAGCTTGAGCAAAAATTGATCTTTAATATACCTTTGACTTTAAACAATCCTTATTTTTTTCTTTTCTCCCAAGTATACCTAGCATAAAATCATATTATAAATCCAAGCACTGAACTTAGAGAAATACCAAGGAAAAGGGAAGCTTCTCAGCAGTTCTGAGTCAAACTCACTGCTTCTCTGCATGTCCTTCTCTCTTCTTTCTAGTACTTGCAACTGCGATTCAATAAACCAGTTCGATACGCAGCCACAGTCATCTACATCGTGCAGACGGTAAGGGGTGAGGGCTTGCAGAGGTGGGTTGTGGAGACAAGTGTGGGCTTGCTTTATTTCCAAGGGCAATTAACACAATTAAAGGACAGACTTAATGCTAATAAGAAGCTACTTTCTCCCAAGGGTAGCACCTTCAAGATACGTGATTACATCCAGGGCTGTCCACGTTTCATAGACCCTCATATATCTGTACAAATAATAACAAGCAAATATATATCATAAACCACCAACAGAAAAAGGGACATTTTTTTAAAATGTATTTCAAAGTTTTATTTAACCTACACGTTGCTTTTAATACGAAATGATCTGGTAACTGATTTTTTTTTTTTACTAGTTAACTATGTTGAACCAGAAATACCCATTTTGCTGAAGATTAGTTTAAGACTATACTCTCAAACCAAGACTCCCACTTTCCCCTGGTGGACTCCTTTCCTGCCTCCCAGATTCCGGGGTGCTTTCCTGCTGCCTCAAGCTTGCCTGTGGCACACTGTCAATGCCTTTCCCATGACTCGCCAGGAACTTTCTTCTAGAAGAGAACCTTCTTCCCTTTTGTTAATCAAAACTCTCCCTCACTGACTGAAGAGAAAAGGAGGAATCACTGTTCCTTGACCTGTCCATAGATATTTGCCTGTTAAAACCCTCACCTGAATCTCTAAGTGGTGAAATTTCACTTGAAATAAAGCAGGACTGCACCCACTTCCGTCAGTGTATTGGGCTGCAGTTCTGGGAGTCTGAAGATGGACCCACCATGCAGATCACCGATGTTGTTAATTTCCCCCGCACGGTGCTCTCCTCACAGATTCTTCCCATTTACTCTAAAATCTGCATTTCAGCAAACTGCTAAAATGAGTGTGTGTCACTGTGAGATATATATATGGCGGGGAAGGTAGAGGAAGAGTGAATCAAAAACTTAACTTGAACCCTACTTTTGTATCCTTAATATAGCAAATCTACTAATAAAATCTCAAAATTTGCAGCCATCTTCAAAGTCCAACACTCTTCCTCCATCTAATGCTTATTATTAACCCTTCCACAAATTAGTTGCAGGGGCCAAGGGCTTCAAAGCCAGAGTGCATAGGAATGGAACGTTTGGCGAACAGGTTTAAGGAAATGTAGTTCTAAGGTCAATAAAGAATGTTCAAGGCAGGTGTCCTTTCCATGTCACTCTTCTCACTGTTCCACTGACTCTTGTGTCCCCACCAGATTCTCTACACAGGGGTGGTGGTGTACGCTCCTGCCCTGGCCCTCAATCAAGGTGAGTGAGTTAGCAACACTCTCTTGGTACTTTCCGCCATTTTCATACCTGCATCCCCACCTTGAAGATACACATACAACACCTTGTTGGGAGACGTTCCTGTGGTTAGAGTGCTGTGAATTACTATGGTAGTCACAACATAAAGCTCTAAAAATTGAACATTGAAATTAATGCAAATAACTAGTTACTTGATTTTGCCCACATGGCAAACATCCATTTTGATTGTTGTTTGTTTTTTTAACTAAAGTGATGGCAGTTTTAAAAATTGAAGTACAGTTAATTTACAATATTGTGTTAGTTTCAAGTGTACAGCAAAGCAATATATATATTTTTTTCAGATTATTTTCCATTCTAGATTATTACAAGATACTGAATATGGTTCCCTGTAGATATAGTAAATCATTGTTGCTTATCTTTTTCATGTATAGTGGTTTATATCAGTAATCCCATACTCCCAATTTATCTGTACCCTCCTTCCTTTTCCCTTTGATAACCATACATTTGACAATTTTGTATTATATATACACAACCACTAAATACAGGTCATCTATAATATGGGATCCTTTCTCAGTAATTTCAAGAGGTAGATAATCTGGATACATGAGTAAAAGGTGCTTGTAGTAATTATTTTAAGATGTATACTTGACCTTTTGGAAAGAACTGAATCCAAGAAAAAAAGGAAAGAAAAAACAAAGTGATAGAAATGTCATAATTATAATGTACACTATTAGAGGTCCTCAGTAGTCAATATAACTGTGCTATATTGAGAAATAGGTATCCGTGGTCAATGTTTAGGTGGTTTCAAAGTTCTCAGACTAACTTTGTTAAGAAAAAGAAGTAAAGAAACAATTGGTGCAAAGGTTGGAAGCCTCAGAATCTTAAGGGGAAGAATTTGGCTTTTGACATTATGGACTGCGTTGAGGTATAATAATGTAATAAAATCATCATTATCAGAGATGAGAAAATGTAATAAGAGAACTCGAAGTTGATTTCCATTTGCCCACACAGAACACAGACAAAACTATTGTGACTTTTCCCTCATAGAGCTGTTTTTTTAACTTTCCTTAGAGAAACTTCTTTCAATATTTTTTCTCCTTTCATAGTGACTGGGTTTGATCTCTGGGGCTCTGTGTTTGCGACAGGAATTGTCTGCACATTCTACTGCACCCTGGTATGTATCCAGCTGTGAAAAAGTACACAGCACTATTTCCTAATATGGGATAAGGGCAGGTTTCCAACAACAGGGCATCTAGTTACAGCAGAAGTTGCTATTCCAAAATTAAATAGAAATGTGCCGCTTATCTATCACAGCTTTCTGGGGCAGTTGCTGTTGTTTGTTTAAATTTTTTTTCAGTACCAAGCATTGGTAGAATTTGGGCTCTGGGCTCAGTGGAAAAGCCATGGCTAAGAGCAGATTTAATGATAGAAATACCTCCTTGCTCAGAGGATTGGTGGCCATATGCAACTGTGGATAAAAAAGTGTGCTCATTAATGCTCATTAACGGTGATTGTAAATATAGGTAGCATTTATACGTCACTGTCTACTGCCTGCGAAGTATAAACTGCCTGAATGAATACTCTAGGATGGCATGTATTTATAAACTTGTGGCTTCTATAGCTGGACTTGTCTCTTATTGATGGAAAAGCTTGGATTGCATTTACCATTTGGCTTTACACATGCTCAGTTTTAACCAAGAAATTTGGGTAGTATCGGTAATATATTTTTGTAATTGTTACAATCAGTTTAGTTTAACAAACGTTCATTGAGCACCTATCATTTGCCATGCTCTTCAGTAGGATTCTTTATTCTTCTAAGTCATTGGTACCATCTGTGGAGGCTGTAAGTAATCAATGAAGAATGTGGCAGTGGTTCTCAGATGATTGGATTCTCTTTCCTCCTTTATAGAGAAAAATACAGTAATTGATAAATTATCATATAGCAGACCATCCATGTATTTTGGCATTGTGTGCCTATCAACTACTCTTTTAACATGTATCATGATAATATACGATTTAAATAGGCTCATATCTCTCTTCCTCATACTTGCAAATCCCACCATTTCTTTGCACTGCAAAGTTTTATCTTATTTTTTTTCCATTCCATTCTCACTACCATAATTCTATCCCAGACACACATCTCCTACTTAAGTTAAAAATATACTCCTACTTCTTTCATGTCTGGTTATATGTGACAGATTAGTGGCTCTGAGCATCCTTCCATAGAAGGATAACTAGATGCATTGCTAGGGACACTGAAGGCAGACTTCCTAGCAACAGTGTTAGAAGCCAGAAACAGTGAATAATATCTTCAACGCACTGAAAGGAGACGATTGTCAACTGTAATTGTGCACTCAGCAAAACTGTCTTTAGGTTACTGACTGTCAAGAATGGAGAGAATTTACCACTTAAGTATCTTCCCCTAAGAAAAGCCTAGAGGAAATACTGTGTGAAGAAGGAAAATTGTCCAATTTTAGATAGAAGAAGTAATGATAAGAAAATAAAGTAGTAAACATTTAGTAAGGTTAATCAAATGATTTTTGGTGCTTAATGATAATTTTATAGTATAGTATAATTTATATAATATCTAATAATATAATTTATAATATTATAAATATAATAATTATTATTATAGGTAATTTTGGAGTTAAGAAAAAGAATAACTTTCATTTGGACAACAATAGCATGTAAATCAGGAAGAGAGTAATTTGATTTAGAGATTTTATAATCCTTGAATTGTTGGAGATTAAGACCTTTTTAAAATTTAGGCTCTAAATTAAAAATTCATGGCAACATTTCAAAGGGACTCATTTAAATAAAGCAGTCAAAGTAGAAAAAGGAAATTAAAACAAATCTCAACTGATTTAAGAAAAGAAAATCATTCAAAAAAAGAAAAGGAAAAAAAAAGCATAGAAAAAGTAGAACAAACAGAAACCAAAAAGTAAAATAACAAAAAAAAACCAAGTCTGGATATTTTAATCATCACAATAAACTAAAATGAACTAAATTTACTACCTCAATTGATTTCAGTGCTTCCCTCCACGTTGCATGCCTCTGTCAGCTTAATCTTCTTAAAATATCCATTTTTTCATGCCACTTGACTGAATTAATTCTCTCTTTGCTTCGCATTGTTCACAGGATAAAGTGTAAGCTTCTTAGCTTAGTGCTGAAAATCTTGTTCTTTGTGAGTCAATCCACCCATTCAATCTCTTCTCATCACACCTCTGTTCCATCTCCCCTCTCTCTGGCCAGACTGTAGGCTTCAGTGTCTCACCAACATGGCGGCTTCTTTCTCTAACACTTTTGCTCATATGGCAGCCCTTTAGCACTCATAGTCCTGTGGATGTGTAGCATAGTTAAAATAACTAGTAGAAAAGATTAAAAAAAAAAGAAGAAGAAGAAGAAGAAGTGATCCTTGCCGTCCAGGAGTTTGCAGTCCAGTGAGGTAGATACAGACTGATTAACTACCTAAGTGGCCCTCAAGGGACGATCAGGATCATAGATGAGTGGAGTGTGGGTGTGTGTATCTTGCTGTATGAAGCAGTAATATTGTCAGAGAAGTTTCCCTGAGAGCTATAATCTGCCTTTTGATGCACAGTTGATAAAGTGGTAATAAAGTGGTTTATGTTCTTGCCTTAGGTCTAGCTGAAGTTCAGGTTTATGCATATTTTTACATCCCCCAGGCCAAGTCACCTCTGAAAACTGACGTCTTTGACATTTGGTCTTCATATCACTAAAATCTGATGCTGTGATTTGGCTTTGGAAGGCTTAACATCTTTAAAGAAAATCAAAATAACACTATTTGGGAGGTGGGAGTAAGAGACTGAATATTCCTCAAATCAGAATTTGAACAGAATCTACTAGTACAGCGCATCCGGTAGGGGCTTCAATGTCTGTCTTTTAGTCGCATGCTGATTTTAATTACACAAGAAATGATGAGACAATCTCCATGTCTTCTTTCTTCTCAAGATAAAGATGAAGCCTGTCATCTTTTCATAGAAGTTCTTGACACTCTGGAGGAGGAACCAAGGATGATGATTCTATTTTTCAATGTTAAAAATATCATGTCCTTTCATTCACATGAAATGAATGCTTATCCATTTTCAAGGCACCTTTTAAATATATCACTTCATTTAATCTTCCCTAATTTGCTTATTCCACCTTCACCACGGTCGTAAGGGATTGGCCAGCAGCTTCGTTCTTTCCTCCTTTCTTCTTGCCCAAGTATTTTCACCTTGAATTGTACACTGGAATCACTGGGGAGCTTTCAGAAACACTTAGAACTGGGTCCCAGCCCAGACCTCAGTTTATTTAGACTTCCTCGGAAGGGAGATTAGACCCTGGTTCTTGGTTTATTTGTTTTCCAATTCCCCACATGACTCTAAAGAGGGTGCAAGTTTCGCGACCACTGCACTAGTCTCTTGTCTAATCACTCTCTCCTGAGTCGTACTGTCAGATTCAACCTCCTGAAACTCTGGTTTGCTCGCCTCACTATTTGATCATCCTCTCACTCCTAAAACTCCTTTCTCCATGAACATCTGGAATCTATCATTCCTTTCTAGTACTCTTCTTTCTCAGTAAGCTACCATCTCGATGTCCCCAAATTTGTTCACTGTCACTAAATTTACAAAAGGGAATCTCATACTGTACAAGCCAGGCCCAGGTGATTATCTTCAATTCCTTCTCTTCCTCATCCCCTATATTCTGTTATTCACAAGCTGTGTTGATTTTACCTCCCAAATATCTTTCAAATCCATCGACTTCTTTCCATCTCTATCCTACTTCTGACTGCTGTTATCTTGGACATGTACGGTGAAGAAAACTCTGAGCTGATTTCCTAACTCTTTTCCTTCAGTGGTCCTACAATCTGTTGTCCATACCACCATCACAGAAATTACTGTGAATCCAACAAAATCTCCCGTCATATAAATCTCCTTAATGCTCTTATTACTCTTGAGAAAGCATGTAAATGGCCTTGTAAAAATCTCTGTGTCCTGGCCTCTAGCAAGTTTAGCAGCTTCCCTTTGGGTATTCTATACATCCTGAAAGAATGCTAGAACATACATCCTTTCATTTCTTCAGGCTTACCTTCCTTCACACATGCTGCTCCCCTTTCCTCTTTGACCTCTGTATCTGGTCAGTTCCTACTCATTCTTCAGAATTCAGCTCAAATGCCACTTCCCTAAGACCAAGTCAGGACTCCCTGCTATATGCTCCCAGAGTAACCTGTCCTTCTCTATTGTACTTTCTTACAGTTTTAAGTAAATAGCTGTATTACTATGTAGTATCTGCTTCTTCCACTAGGGCATAAACTTTATGAAATTAAGGAAGGATCTGTCTCTTTCACTTACCATTTTATTCTCATGTTTAACATAGTACTTGGCACATAAAAGGTGCTCAGTGACCAGGAAAGAAAGAAAAAAAGAGAAAGAGAGAGAGAGGGAGAAAGAAAGAGAAAGAAAGAGAGAAAGAGAGAAAGAAAGAAAGAGAGAAAGAGAGAAAGAAAGAAAAAGAAAGAGAGAAAGAAAGGGAGAAAGAAAGAAAGAAAGAAAGAAAGAAAGAAAGAAAGCAAGCAAGCAAGCAAGCAAGCAAGCAAGCAGGAGGGAGGGAGAAAGAGGGAAGGAGGAAAAAAGAAAGACTGCTTTGGCAGAGAGGTTGTGCAGAAATGGAAGAGTTGCAGGTTTCGTTTTTAAGAACTCACACACATTCTCTCCATTTCAGGGAGGATTAAAAGCAGTGGTGTGGACCGATGCTTTTCAGATGGTTGTCATGGTTGTGGGCTTCTTAACAGTTCTCGTTCAAGGATCAATTCATGCTGGTGGATTACACAATGTATTAGAGCACTCTGCAAATGGATCTCGACTAAATATATTTGAGTACGTCAAGTGCTACTTTTTCATGTTTTACAAAGATTTAGCTGTATGACCTCATCACCTGAAATAATATTGGGGCATCAGAGGACCATATTTGTTCACTCACTGCTCTCTCTCGTAGCTTTGACGTAGATCCTCTCCGGCGGCACACTTTCTGGACCATCTCCGTGGGAGGAACTTTTACATGGCTTGGAATCTATGGAGTCAATCAGTCGACCATCCAGCGCTGCATCTCTTGCAAAACAGAAAAACATGCCAAGCTGTGAGTTGTTAATAAACATTTTAATGTTTTTCTCTGCCCTTCTTGGGGACTTACTATATGCTTCCTAATGTTTTGAATGTGTGTGTGTGTGTGTGTGTATAAAAGTGAGAAAGAAATAAAAAGATTCATTTAATCCTTTCAACAACTTTTTGAGGCAGGCATTACCATTCCCTTCTCCACGAGGAGGTGGCAGTGGTGGGGTTTGAACTTAACATCTTAACATCTTTCTGTCTTCCTCTGCTCGCCATCATTCACTGCCTTCATTTTCTGAGAAATTGTTCAGTTAGACTAGATACTGTGGGTGGCAGTGCAGAGATAAGGAGCCCATATTTCTTACTTACAGTTTCTATGATGAGATGGTTTTTATCACTATCTTCATTCAGCATGTGGTCTTTTATTATTTTGATGGATATATCATAAAAGTTTCCAAAGAGGAGTTAAAAGAAGAAAACCCAAGATAGTGAAGCAAGTCATAACCGGGGTTTGGCTGCTCCAACTCTCGCCAGGGCAGCCAGTCCCCAGTCAGGCCAGACCTGCTTACCCTGAAGGGCTCCACAGAGTCACAACTGGTTAAGCTTTTTTCAAACCATGGAAGTCATCCCACACTTTAGAACGGGGACCAAAGGAAGTTAAGCTCTTTTTTTTTTTGGCAAAACTGGCAGAAGTAAGCTAGAATTGCATTCCAAATGGGCATTTCATCGTTCGTAGCTGCTACCCAAGTTTCCAGCCTCCAGAGATTTGTCAGAATGCCTTTAACTTTTCTTAGAGTGAGAAACAGCCACTATGAATATTTCCCCAGTGGATCCTAAAATACTTTCAATGCACAGTTTCTTATTTAAACTGAATAAAAGATAAAATTGCCTGGACATGGTTCAACATTTTGTAACTGGAATCTCAAAAGGGAATGTATTACTTACCAAGTCTACTACAGAAGGAAGAAGTGAAAGCATTCTTTATTACTCTATAAATTCCCTGGTAACATATTCTTATCCTATTACAATAAGTGACAGTAACAAACTCTGTACAAACATGACATCATTTTGTCACATAGTTGAATTATTAAAAATGTATTTAAGATCAAAAGTGATTTTAATCTTAAAATTCACTTAAAATTCTTTTAAAATTCTGCCTTAAAATAGAGTGGACTATATCTGTCAAGGGAAGTCTTTTGGTGAAATAAATAATAATTCTCTGTTAAAACCAGGCGTTTAAAAACCCGATATGCTTGTGTTATTACTTTTTTTTCTTTTTTGAGAACTTGCCTAGTTTCTCTCTATTACCATAACAGTACTTAAAAATTAGGAAATGTATCTTTTTATCATTTTTTTCCCACAAGGCCAATAACAATGCTCTGTGCTTATTAAATATTGATTACTTATTAAACAAATAATGCTTCCAGAATGTCATGCTTGTGTGTGTGAATGTAGAAGCACATAAATGAACATATATATATAAAATATGTGTGTGTATGTGTGTGTGTGTAAGAGTTTATATATGTGCACGCCTACATGTGTACTTGTGTTTGTGTATGTCTAAGTCTCATTTAGTAGATTGGTTTAAATGAAATACTCATTCATAGTAGTTTCTTGGAATTTGGAATTTGCTACATTAGTATTTGATGAGTATGAAAGCTGTCAGAGAAGGAAAGATGCTCATGAAGACAGGAATACATATATGTCATTCCCTGAGCACTTTGGATTGCCCCAAGTGCTGGCTCTACTCATCCCCATTCCCATGGAGGGACCAGAACTGTGATAGGAATTTAGAATAAGGAAAGCTGAAAAAAAAACCATCTTTAGAAAAGACTTTTCTAAATCCAAGTTGATTTAGTGGAGACAATTCAGGAGAGAGAAATCAGTCCAAATGGTCAGTGCACTTGAAGTGTACACAGCTGGAGGGGAGATGGCTGTCATGGTATGGATATGGTGGAAGTTCCCATTTGTTGAGGGCACTACTGGGGCAGCTGGAGGACCCTCAGAGCCATCTGCCAACAGAAGTTTACCTAGGCTCTGCAGAAAGTGGATTAAATGCATTACATCTGCACAATTATCTGAGAGCCTGATGTAGTTAAAACATTCCATCAGGTCTAGAAAAATCTCTGCAACATAGGTAAGTACAAGTAGGCACATAAAGCTCATACGGAATGCGGCCATGGATTAAAACCAGCACACATGCATTTAATCGCATGGTCAGAATGCTGATTACTCAACAAAGACACCTCCATCTGAAGCCAGGTCTTCCTTGCACCGGGGAATAGTGTCACTTATCAGGTCCTTTGAGATGTGCTCCCTGGAAGCTGACTTGGACTCTTGTTTCTGGACGTCAGTGTATGTTTCAGGTCTGCTGATGGTGAACGGTGCTGAGGGAAGGAGTGGCTGGTGCAGGTTACCAAGTGCTTTCCCATCAGCGTTCTCATCTCCCAGCCAAGACGAGCACGTCCACACCCAGTCACTTTTGTTCCCTTCCCATTGCCTTTGTTTATTTTCTTTATCTCTTTCATCATATCTAAAATCATCTTGTTTATTTATTTCATTGCAGTGACCATTACCATTACCTCTAATCCCAGAACACCATCTCCACCAGGGTGGGTTCGGTGTTGCTCACTGCTCTGAGCTCAGTACCTAGAAGAGCCTGCTCTATGGTGACGCCTAAGAAATATATTTTCTGAATGAATCAGTGAAGTGGCTTAAGTGGCAAATGGAAGAATTAGCCCTGAAGACAATTAAAGTCTATTCTAGTGAAAAATAAACTCACAATGCAGGGACTTAAACATTCTAATAGACAATTTTGCCATCGATTTCTTATTTCCCCTAGTTGACTGGTGAAATTTTAAAATTGTTCTAGATAATGTATGAAAATCCTCTATAAGGGGTGGGGAGCAGGGTATATATAGCTCAAGTGATACGGGGCGTGCTTAGCATGTACTAGGTCCTGGGTTCAATCCCCAGTACTTCCTCTAATAGATAGATAGATAGATAGATAGATAGATAGATAGATAGATAGACAAACAAAACTAGTTGCCACCCCTCCAAATAAATAAATAAATAAATAAATAAATAAATAAATAAATAAATAAATAAAATTTTTAAACATAGCATCCGTTGTATTTTTAAAAAAGGAAAAAAGAATATATCTATATACACACATAAATACATACATATGTGTATATATACATGTTTATATAAATCCTCTATATGACTGTATAACCTACATATATTTTTACAGAGAATAATTTATTCAATCCTCACATTAGTCCTATAATAAGAAGTAAGGCAGGTGTGTTACACTCTTCTTACTGATGATGTAACTGGCTCAGAATGTTAGTGACTTATCTGAAGTCCCACGGTTGTTGAAGGTATAGTCTTCTGATTCCAGATCCAATGCTCCTTTCAAAAAAGAAATGATGCAAAGACTACAAGCATACAGTAACGGATTTCTACCATTCATGTATTCATTCAGTCACTCATTACCAAAAACAGAATCATTTTATGCCTGCTATATGCCAGCACCATTGTGCGCTCTAGGGACACAGCCCTGTGTTTGAATAGTTTGTCTGAAAGGCAGAAGCAAGAGTACTTCTTATTCAGTTCACAGGTACTGATCCCTTCCTGTATCAATCGTCCTCTCCAAAGGCTATGTCTAAATCAAATCCCTCCAAACAAAAGCAAACAAACAACTAAAACTCAAGGATAGTAATTCCACAGATAGAATCCTTTCTTAATGTAAGTAGCATAAAATAAAAACCTCCAAATGGGTTATTAACATATTTGCTTCTTCAAAGAGTACTTTGATTTAAAGGTCTTCCCGAAGTCAGGTACACCCCGTACAGTAGGGGTTTGGGGGAACTTCGAAATGAATACGTGTCCTTACTTTTGAGTGTGGATGCATCAGAATCCCTTCAAATAATGACTGATTCCAAGGAAATGCCTCCTGTTGCTTTCCTGGCCGTTGGTACCTTGAAACTCTCTCCAGAACAAGATTGTTCTCTCAGAGAACCAGTGTGAGGCCAGCCAGCTTTCAAGCCTTCCCTGAGATTTAGAAAATATGTAATATTTTAATTTTCAAAGGACAAAAATAGATACAAAATAACCACAAGATACTATAAACGCACTCAAATCAAAATTAAATATATTTGTGTTGTAGAATCAAAAGAATTGCTCCAAAGAATATGGATAAAAATAACGTTAGGTTTTTCATACTTTCCATTGCCGTTTTGAAAACTGAACTTTAAATTTCATTCAAATTAATCTCCAAAGTGAGTACTTCCAAAATGTGTCTACTTCTACATTTATCTCATCATCCCTCTGGGGAAAAAAAAAAAGATGTTAAAATGTACATTGGCTTTTTGACAGTTTCATGAATTGATTGGGGGGAAATTACTTGAAGTTATGTAATAGGAGTGACTGATAACATGAAATTTCATCTAAGGAACTAGACCTACGCCACACGTTGAGGCTTTACAGAAAAACTCCCGATTTCAAAAGAAAATCTATCAAAACTCTACCTCATTCAAATTTCATACTCACTGTAAAAACATAGTGTTCCCAAACAAAAAAAAATATGCAAAAGGATAAAATGCAGTGATTTTCTATTGAAATATGACTAACTTACAATATTAAGTTAGTTTCAGGTGTACAGCATAGTGATTTGATATCAAAATGGAGTGATTCTTGAAGGTGGAAGTATTTTATAGCCAAAAGGCGCCCCAGATTTCACCCTGAGTCTTTGGTAGTGGTCTCGCCAGACTGTAATATGCCACAGGGGCTACCCATAGGTCTCTGTGTTCTCTTTTAGAGCCTTGTACTTCAACTTGCTGGGTCTTTGGATCATTCTGGTCTGTGCTGTCTTGTCTGGCTTGATCATGTACTCCCACTTCAGAGACTGTGACCCTTGGACTTCCGGCATCATCTCAGCACCAGACCAGGTACGCGCTCCCTCGGGGCCCGAGGGGACTGGCGGAGATGAGCGTGCTTCCGGCCGTCCCCGAGTCGTGTTAGGCCTTTCTGTTTTTCCCACATGGGCCTCTAGCTATTTCCCAAGCCCCAAACACTTGCTTTCTTTCCTCTCTTCTTGGGTGATATTTTCACATGTCAGTTTCCAATACTGGAGAGTGAACATGTGAAAGGAAGTTACCTTACCTTGCCCTTGAAGGCCAGGCCTGGAGCCAGGGCGGGGCTGGGGAGAGTGGAAGGTGGGCTTGAAGCCATAGCTTTGGTTGTCAGTGCCACCTTTCAACTCTTTTCTTCATATCCATCTCAAGCTTGGCTGACGATGCTTTCATCTCCAATTGAACAAAATGACCTGTTCATGTCTTCCCATTATAGCTTCAACGGTGTCAGTTCAATAGACTACATTCAACATGATTTTAAAACTCCACTTATGGAGGACGTGCTGAGGAGGAGCAATCATCCCCCTCTCTGCCTCCACATAGTCGTCTGTCCCACTGTGTCCTGTGGGGGCTCCTGTCCCACAAATGTGGCCACAGAGTGGAACCATAATACTTATATACCCTGAAGACCTGTTCTAAGTGTTTGCTTTTGGGGTTGAATTGCTAATATTAATGGTAAACCAGTGTGAAAACAGCCTACATTGCAAACATAAGAAAGAGTTTAAAGTTCCTGAACGTTCTAAAGTTCCTCCAACCCTTTTTCCTATTACGGCTGCTCCCTTCCTACCCCTCCCTCCCCTACACCCAGACCTCAGGGCCATGGACTTGGACTGAGTGTCACCTCATCTGCTAGCCTGTAACCACTGTAGTCCATGCAAACTCCTCTATTATTATTTTATTTTGTTTTTCTTTTTTCCCACCTCCTCTTGGTAAAAGCTACCTTCACGCATTTCAGACACTGCTGATGGGACCACTAATCCTACTTTGTTTTGCCTCCCCTTCAGTTGATGCCATACTTCGTCATGGAGATATTTGCCACAATGCCAGGACTCCCAGGACTTTTTGTGGCTTGTGCCTTCAGTGGAACTCTGAGGTTAGTGGACTGACAACACTCTGCCGTGATAATGATGATGGTGACAGTGGTGATGGCAAAGCAACCAAGATGACAAGGGTCACAGTGAGTCACCACCAGTATGACTGAGTACCCACTGTGTCAGCTGCCCTGCTGAATGTGTTGTGTGTATTTGCTCATGAGTTGTCACACAATATGTGAGACTGAAACTACTCAAATTGCCATCAGTTTATAGAAAAGGAAACTGAGATTTAGCCAGGTAGATAACTTACCTGTTGAGAGGCAGTAAACCTCAGAGGCACTAGACCTCTCTTTATTTTCTCGATCTTGCCTGATGCCAACCGTTCCCACGATTTTGCATCGCCTCTGCACGTGGCAGTTCACTCTGCTGGCTTTCTCATTCAGCTGCAGTATATTCTTGCAGATCTATCCTTTGCAACCCACTCTCTCCAGCTTCAATAACACACTCAAGCAGCTAACAGTATCCATCTTCAAAATGTACACATTATTCTAAATACAAAATTATTCACACATTTATTCTGACAAATACCTTAGAAGGTTTACATTACGCCAGGCACAGTTGGTGACAGCGGGGCTACTGCAGAGAACAAAACTGACATATGCATTGACCTTACACAGAGTTTGCATTCTGGTAGACATGGAAGACGGACAGTATATAACTAAACAAACAAAAAACCAAGGTTCTGTTTGATAATAGCAAATAGTATAATGGAAATGACAGAGTGATATCCTAGAGACAGGGAAGGTGTGGAAGTCCTGTCTTTAATGGGGTGTTAGGGAGCTCCTCTTTGAGTACATGACATCTGTGTTGAGAGCTAAAAGATGAGCAGACGTCTGCTCTGTGGGGAGCGCAGGCAGAAGCTTTTACAGGCCACGCGGAGAGCAAATACCAAAGCCTGGAGGAGATCACCCGTGTGGAATAATTCAGGATCAGGGAGAAGCTGGAGGATAAGGAACCAGGAGGAGAGTAGACAGGGAGGAGCTTGGAGAGGAGAGCAGGCATTGGATCATAAAGAGACTTCACGAAGTGGTAAAGAGTTTGCGTTTCATCTTAAGTAAGAAGGCATTAGAAGGTTTGCAGTGAGTGATGTGATACAGTTGGAGACTCAGGCTTCCATGTGGAGGGAAGGGACTCTGACAAAAGCCAGCGTGGTGAAAGCAGGTGACTATTTAGGAGGCCTTTGCCTTAGCCCAGGTGAGACAGGATAGTGACTTGGAGAATGGTGAGGGCAACAGTGTTGAGAGCAAGGGACTGAAACATTAAAATGGTATCATTACTTTCTTTTAAGGCAGACCCTCTGCCTTTATGAATCAAAGGTTCCTCTGGTAGGAAAAGCTTTATTTTCCCTTCCTGGAGCTCAATTGCAAAGTATCAATTATAGGATTTCTCAAAGGTTAATTTTAAGATAGTAAAATGATTAGGGTCAAAATTTAAACAATTCCCCAGGATAAAAGTAGGAACTTTATATCTGATTTCTCAGATTCCTGGTCTCACTGCACAGTGTTAACCACTGTTAATAATTTCTTGTCAATAAACCCGAACGTTTCTTTGCATAGGTGAACATATAAACCTTTAAGTGTACAAAACAGAGATCACGTTGCATATATACTGCTATTTCTTTAAGTTGATATAATTTAGAAATCTTTCCATATCAGTAGGTCTACCCTATTCTTTTTTTGATCTACTGTGATACTATAGGACCTGCTTCCTGGTTCATACATGGCCATCTTCATGTTGCATCCTCTATGGTGGAAGGGCTGAGGGAGTGCTCTGGGGTCTCTTTTATAAAGTCACTAATTCCATTCATGGAGGCTCTACCATTGGGACCTGATCAGGTCCTCAAAGCCCCTCCTCCAAATACCATCACATTGAGGATTGGGCTTCAAGACATGAGTTTGCAGGGGGACATAAGCATTCAGTTCAGAGCATATTACAATGTGTATCTTTGTAAAATTGTGCAACAATGGATGTAGGCTACATTCCAAGGAGTGGAATTACTGTGTCAAAATATTTATTTATTTAAAGTTTTCATGGACATTGCTAAGTTGACCTCCAAAAATTTGCACCAGTTTATACACCAAACAGAAAATACTAAAGTGTCTTTTTCCCCATATTGCCATTAATATTAGGTACTCTGAAACTTTTACACTTGAGTATTTGATAGGTGAAAAATGGTAACTAAATTTAATATGAATTCCTTTGATCAGAAGTGGGATTGGCTACCTTTCCCTCTTTCATTAGTCATTTGAATTTTTTTTCTATAAGATGCAAATTTATTTTCTCTGCTTTTTTTTTGTAAGTTTTCTTCTTTACATATATAGGAAAAATAGTTTATTAACATGTCTCATTTTTTTCTCATTTGCCTTTTGTGTATTTGCTAAAGATATTTTTGAGTATATGGACATTCTGTTTCATATTAATCAATTTTTCAAAACATTATGGTTTCTGAGTTAACATCATTCTTGTGGAGACGTCTCCATTCCATGTATGTAATCAGCCAGACATCATTCTAATATATTTATGGTCTTATTAAGTGTTAAAATTATTAAATCATCTAGACTATATATGTGGTGTAAGAAATGACGTAGAATTCCTGACTTATTTTCCTTCTAAGTTAGTAGCCAGTTGTCCCATTATTTTTTAGTAAAAAGCCATGTTTTTCACCACTGACTTAAAATGCTACTTTTATTACATCTTACTTTCTTTCATATATTTGGAACTTTTCCTAGATTCTCTTTTATAGCCCTTTGATCCATTTGTGTACAGCTATGCCAGTACTAATAATTTAATGACTAAGCTTTAATGTATGATTTTAAATATGCTAGGTTAGTACATATTTCTTTCTTTTCTTTTACAGAATTTCCCTTGATATTATCTTTTCTCAGATTATTTTTAGTTACTTCTATGAGACTTGATTGTACTCAAATCATAATATCTACAAATATTTGGGGATTTTTCTCTTCTTTTCTAATAGTTATACTTCTATGTTCACTTTCTTATTTAACTGTGCTTTGAGAACAAAGATTTTAAAAGAATGAAGGATGACAGAAATCCTTGTTTTGTTATGCACTTTAAAGGAAGTGGTTCTTGGATTTTACCATTAAATGTGATACCAGGTTTTGATTTAAATGATATTATTTACATTTAAACTATTTATATAAAATTAATCAAATTATAAAAAACAAAATTACATATAATTATTAAAATTTTAGGGAATATTTTTATCAGGAGAGATTTTGAATTTTGGTAAAATTTGGCATTTTTGAAATGAGTATTTTTTCTTTTTTTGCTTTTGGCATATTACTATTAATATGTTGACAGATTTCCAAAATAGCAACATCTCTGAATTCTCATAACGACCTTAACTTGTTTATAGTGTAATTTTAAGTTAGTGTTCTGCTAAATTACTTTTAGTAATATTCTTTTTAGGATTTTGCATCTATGACACAAAGTGATATTGTTCTGTGGTGTTGGTATTAGTATTTCAAGGAAACCAAGGTAGAAGCAATGAACACCAGATGATTGAACGTAAGTAGGGAAGACGCTGTGGCTTTCACTTTATCCCTCTCTACAGAACTTGATTTGTATATTTCTTTTTCCTAAAGCTGAATCTCTCTGGTCTGAATACAGCCAACAGATTAGTCCCCCCATAAAAGAACGGTTGACTCTTTTCTCAATTCCAAATATTCCAAGAAAGACACACTGGACAATACATATTATAGAAAGATCACTTTCGCTATAATGTTAAGGGGGGCATTTGGTTAGGGAAACGGAAAGACAAGAATTGGGGAGGAATAAAGGGATGGTGGTTGAGTGATAGGGAACAAAAGATTTGCACCATCTTAAGCAGTTTTAGAATCTGAGAAATCGACATATGGATAATACATGTGACTGCAAAAGCAACCCAACAGAACTTCTACAAATCTGCACCAAAATCAGTTTTTTGCTCCTTCCCTCCCAATGGATTCAAGGGTCAGCCCTAATGTTTGAAACTTTCAGATGATGAATTTGAGACTTATATGTTGGGAGCAAGGAAGCTTATTTTATTTGATCATTTCCTTTCCTTATTTGACTTTCACGGAGCTGCAGATGGAAGCAGAGTCTTATAGGAAACAAATACTATGCCTTGATTCCTAGGAAAATGAGAATGGCACTTGGAAGTGTTTGAAATTTCAATTCCCAGAAATGGGTCTCAGGAAGTTTCCACTTGCTGTGTCTGTCATTTAGGGAAGGAACTTTAAAATTTTGCACAAGATTCCCCTGGAAATGTTCTAGCTAAAGTAAGCTACAAGGTAAAATTGATGACAATAGTATTGTCTTGCATTAGAGAAAGAAGACAAAGTTTGAATTTTTTCCCACACTGTTGGCACAGCTATAGCTTGTTTTCGTGTGAGCATTGGAAGACAACAAAAAAATTAGCTAATGTGCATCAATGGAAAACTTAACAAACAGCTGGCCAGGCTTTGTTCATTAGCTTGTTTCTTTTCCAGAACTTCTGTTTGTGATTGTGATTTTGCATCATATGAATTTAATATATACATCTTTTCTACTAGCTAAAATATTTCTGGTCAAGATGAGGAATTTAATAAGCTTTCATGCTGTTCAGCAAAGAAATCCCCAACTTCCAGGTTCTGTGTCACCTAAGCAAGTTTTAGGGCTATAAGACTGAACTCTGAGTGGCAAATTAAAGAAAGAATATCGGAGCTTTTATGTGCTTTTGGTCTTTGCCTACTTTCCAGTCTTATTTTTGCCCCTTTTCTCCCTTGCTAATTGCATGCTAACCACTCTGGTGCTTCAAGTTATTGAATGAAACAAGCTTTCCATCTGGAAGCATTTAATTGTAATTTTCCCTTTCTTTCTAAAACATCTTTTTTTCCCCAATCTGCATGGGTCCTTTCAGTGCCTATCTTAACCATCACTTCCTTAGGGAAGCGTCCTCTAACTCCATATCAGTTTAGATCTTGGCAAGACACGCTTCCACAGCACCTTGTTATGTTCCTTCATAATAACAACTTGTACTCAATTGTATAATTGGTCGTAAAATATCAATGTCACTAAGTAAAGTCTCTGTCTTTCTGGTTCACCATTGTATGCCTAGTACCTAGAATGAATGGATGCATAAATGATATGAATGAATGAATGAATGGCAAATTATACTGAGTCCTGGATTAAGATAGTCACTGCTTCCTGCCCCTGATCCAGCCTACACACACACACACACACACAGACAAAATCTCTCTGGTACTGCATGCTGACTCATTTAGCGTCTTGTTAAGGAGAACTAGTAAGAGTTAGAGCACAAAAGCCTGGGTTCTTCATTGAACAATTTCTTTCTCAAAGAGCATTAAGCACAGAAGCTGCTTTGAAGAGTGAGTAGACGGTCCATGTGGTTTCCCTGAAGTCCCAGATTAAGGACACATCTATATCTGTTGTCTTTTTTTTTTTTTTTCCCTAGAGCCCTGCCTTTTCTATTTGCTCTAGACACCAGGGCAGTCTGGTCAGCCTTGATTAGCTTGGACTGTGTCTTGCTTTTCTCTCCCTGTAGCACCGTGGCTGCCAGCATCAATGCCTTAGCAACTGTGACCTTTGAGGATTTTGTCAAGAGCTGGTTTCCCCGTCTCTCCGACAAGCTGAGCACCTGGATCAGTAAAGGCTTATGTAGGTACAGCTGGTGGATCTTCTGTTCCATATGGTGAAATGTACGTGTGGTTATTCAGGGCATGCTGACAGGCACAAGTGCACGTGGAGATACAAGAGGAATTTCACATATAAATTCTTACACTTCCAAAGATACCAGGAAAGAATGACCAACTAGCTTACCTTTCGCCAGCCTCACGTTCAACATTCTTCTGTGCCCATCCTACACCTTACATTCATAACATCAGCCTCTCTAGAGTATGCCTGTTAGTCCCTCTAGAGAGGGACTGTGTTGATCCTCTTAGTCCCTCTACGAAGGAAGGTGTTCTGCTCACTATGGCTGGTCAATTTGTCTGATAGAGCCAGTTTTTTCCCTAAAGAATCCTTTACTATCAAACTCCCAGTAACTTCACCTCAGAGAATAACTGCTCCTTGCTCAATCACACAATTATATATCATCTTTATAATCACTGTAGCACCTACCATGTATTCCCTCCCTCCATGTTTGTTGCTTTGTCTGGGGACCCACCCACTCCAGGTCTCAGTGGGACCCCCATCAGTTTCCCCTAAACTTCCTGCCTTGTGGGTTTCTGTTGTTTGTATTCTAGTGGAAGGACTAGGCGGGCAGACTGAATCAATTCTCACAAAAAATTGTAGAACCCCTGGATTGAGGGGTAGTTGCCTCGAATCCCATTTGAAACACATAACTGTTGGCCCAGCAAGATGGTAATTAGTAGTAAAAATGGCTTCTATTATTTTCTTCCGGTAGGTGAAATACTCCTTATGCACGAAGCAATGGACAGTCAGGGCAAACACTGTGTTCTGAAGTCTAATCTATCGTCTTTAAAGATAGTGGGAATAGTTTTAGAATTCCGAAATGTGTTTGTTGATCAAACTTGGTGTTCAGGGTTGTTGCATGAATTTCCTTATTTTTCTGTGTTTCATTGAGAAGTTGGAAAATATAGTATCAGAAGTTGCTAGCGTGATTTCATCTTAAAAGTGAGTTCTCGATAATACCATGAATATCATGTACCAAATCTGAAATAATAATAATAACAACAACAACAATAATAATAATAATGGTAAACACATAGCTCTTGCTATGTAACAGGCGCTGTTAGATAAATTAGTTTATTTATGTGCAGTCCCTTCCTAGAATGTGAGAGCTTTGAGACAGTGGCTTTTATAGCACTGGCATTTAGTGCCTAACATATGATCGGTATACAATAAAACTGAATTAGTGGTCACACTGGGAACTGAGCCAAATATTTAGCTGGGAGAGAATTTCAAACAAAATGAGAAAAATCACCTTCTCTGCTCCTGTCACTGTGTTTCTGTCTCTATCTATCTCCAACTCCTTGTCTCTCTCCCTCTCTTAGTTTATGGCTTATCATGGGAATTGAGTGACTTTTAAGATAGTTTTTAAACAAGGATATAATAAAGAATCATTTTTAAAAAGTGGTTTAAAAGAGGACAGCTTTTAATGACTATGAAGACGTACTTGCTGATTCATTCGGCAAGATCCTGCGATATGAGAGGGATGCTGTGCACGGTGGTTCAGGGCCTGTGCTCCGGTGGCCCTCGGGGTCCCAGCACAGCCAGGTGAAAAAGGCATTGTTATGAAATATACCAGGATCCATTAGGAGGGTATGAATAAAGCATGAGGAGAGCAGAAAAACTCTCCCGATTTTCAAAAAAATCTATGAGGTAAAATGCGTAGAGAGTTAGCCATTTTAAAGATGAACAACTATCCGTATCCCAGGGAGGCCAGTCACTTCTCCAGCTGGCTGCTGGTGAGGGACGAAACTGGGTTCCGCTAACTCAGGCTCTCTTAGCCTAGACCTGTGCCCTTTCCACATTTTCACGTTTCTTCCACTTGACAGCTTTCTTCTTCCTTTTTAAAATTAAAGTATAGTCGATTTACAATGTTGTGCTAGTTTCAAGTATACAGAAAAGTGATTCCTATATATATATCTTATGTGTGTGTGTATATATATATATGACTTTTTCAGAAAAGAATGACTCTTTTCTATTCTAGGTTATTACAAGACATTGAATATAATTTCCTGTGCTGTACAGTAGGCCCCTGTTGTTTATCTATTTTATATTTAGCAGTGTGACAGCTTTCTTCTTGAATCCTGGAGAGAAGGCTCCTTGAGACTGGATTCTAGCTCTTTCCACCTGGCCTAGGAAAGCAGGTCTTTAGGAGAAAAGTCTCTCCTGATGGCTAGGTGGGGAGGACAGACCTTCCTGAGACCGCATTTCAGTGGAGCTTGCGTGAGAGGCAGCCCTGGGCAGAAGCTCAGGGAGTCCCTCAAAGCCAGCTTGATGATCGGCATGAGTTTCCTTTCTTCCAGGTCTCTTGTTCGGCGTGATTTGTACCTCCATGGCTGTGGCTGCGTCCCTCTTGGGGGGCGTCATCCAGGTAATGAAAGAGACAAAAGGCATATATATATATATGAGCAACTTTTTACCCGCTTTCTTTTCAAATACTTTGCCTTGTCCTCCAAACCCCAAATGCTGACACTTTCTGATATCAGGTCCAAATTACACATACATGTAAAATTTCAACCAAAATTACTTTCAAGAGGGGAAACTTTTCAAAACTAGTCATGAGACTCAGTGACAAGGTACACTGTAATAAAAGTAGAAACCCTTTTAAAGTCCAGATCTGAGAATGTATGATCCTGAAATAAAAATGGAACTGATCATCATGATGGTAAAAACGATAATTACAATGAACATTTATGGAATGCGTATGATATTCTAGGAATAGTCCCAAATGTATTACTTCATTTAACCCTCATCACTACTGTAAGAGGTAGTATGATTAATGTACTAATTTTACAGATGAAGAATCTAAGAAGTGGAGAGGTGATAAACTGTCCCAAATTCACATGATTAAAGAGTGGTGGAGCTGGGGTACGAGCCCTCCTCACCTTATTATCCAGGCCGAACTGCCTCCCAGATGCCCAACTCCCAGTTCCATAAAAGGTCGGCACCGTGAGAAGCGTCAAGAATAATCTGTTCCAACATCCAGTTTGTAGATGATTACATAAAAGAGTAAAAATATCTTGCTCAAGTTTGTGGCTAAACCAGGTTTATGACCCAAGTCTCCTGAGCCATCCCTCCTTCCTCCCAAATTGCTCAACTTTCAAAGCACCATCAGACAAGCACATCTTCAGACTCTACTTAACCCTCTCAATCCCACTGTATCTTTGTATAATATGAGCATCCTGTCTATTTTCTTGGCCAGGCTTAGTTTTTTCAATAAATGCTGCTTAAATGAAAGAAAAAAAATGAAAAAGAGTGGGTGAATAGTAATCACTGACTTTTATAAAATGTAGTTTTAGTTCACAGAGCAGCATATCTTGCTTGATCCTTCTGATGGCTGCTCACATAGGTTCTGTTATTTCCTTTCGAAAGTTCAGGGAACTAAATCTGGGAGAACTGAGTGACATCATAATTCACTTGTCTATATAAGAGACACTGTGGTTCTGGAAACTCGGTGCCCTCTCTGCTAAGTAGGAACCTCCCCCCACCCCCACCCGCCAAATGACTGATGCTTGCTAATCTCTTTACAATTTTTGAAGCACTTTGATATCCACAGCAGAACTGGCAGGTTGGTGAGGTTTGTCTTTAGTGATCTCAGGAATATTTTTTTTAGATTCATTTTTCCCCATTTCCAAGTTACTGCTGATGCTTTGTGCCCTTTTGTTTTTCCCCCTTTATCCAATCACTATTCACTTTCATGGAAGTATTACCATGTCCAGTTTAGTGAGAATTTGAATCACTAAATGGCTTTCCTTCAGAGATACTTACCTTTTAAGCTTATTTGCCATTGAATTTGAAGGGCTCCAGGATAGAGAAGGACTCCTGCAAGCCTGGTGTAAAACCTAAAGCTTACAATGAAGAGGGAAACTGAGGTGGAAGTCATTAGTTGAGCTTTCTCTTCCTCCAGTTAAACACCCCTAAGGATGACAAAAAGAAAGATAAGGACTTGAGGTCAGTTTAGTTTTGTGATTTATAGAAATACATTTTTTTCAAATCCAGAGACTCTTTTTTAGTTTTCTTTCTTTTATATGAAGACCTTTCCCCCTACCCAGAGCCTATTGACTAATGACTTTACAAGAATTTTTTATTTTTCCTCCCCACAGTGGGGGAAAAACATTTTTTCCTAACTTATTGACTCTCCTGTATAATAGCTAGTAAATTAGCTTCCAAATTCAACAACCACAGCAACTATGAATTAATATATCAATCAGCAGAGCAAATGTCAAGAATATGAAGTTAAGTATTGATGTTGGGGAAAAGTATCTACTTTAATCTCATCTGCCTCCATCTTGTGAAAGATCTATCTGTGGCATTGACTTCTCTAAAAATTAACAACCATAACAGTGCATTGCAGCTCATCTTTCTGGGCAGAAGAATTTACATTACAGCTGGAGTGGATTTAAGACCCCTTGGTCCTGTTTGTATTTATTTTTTTTTATAGAGAAAGAGGACTCTCTGATATGAATCTGAGTTAATAACTGAAGTGTTACCAAATCACAGGGACATGTGGCAGTGCAAAATTAGAATCTAAGTATTCTATTAGTGATGGACTCTCTCAGGAACTTTTTTCCTTAAAGAAAAAAAAAAAAAAGAGGCCATGATAGTAGTTTGTGTTCTTGATCTTTTTTGTTTTTCTTTCTTCCCCTTGCCTTTTTTTTTTTTCAGGACTGCTTTTAGGAGAAAAAAATATGGATTTAGGTTTTAGATCCAGACAAATTTGCTTAGAACTCCTAAATCTCACTTCTGCCACTTTCTAACTGGAAGTATGCCTTTAATATATTTTCTCTTAGTCCAAGTTTCTCACCTATAAAATCCAGTTAGTGCTACCAGCTAAACAGGGTAACTGTGGGGATGACATGGGGTCATTTGTTTAGAGTGCTAGGGTTGCTCATCTCCGCTATCTGACACTTAGGTGGTGCCTGACAACAGAAAACGTGTAAGATCTTTAGAGCATCTTTATTGCAGCCCCTTGATCTAGGAGCCCCGCAGCTGTATTGCTAGAACTAGAGGGGGCTGCACTGCAGAGTAGCTGTGCATGTGTGTGCATGTGTGTGCGCACACACACACACGTGTGTACGTGCTCACTTGCACACGTCAGCCTTTGTATGTTCACGACTCCTGCAAGGCCTTGCCACAAGGTTGACAGCAAATTAGTTTGGTTAAAGCCCCTCGCCAATTCACTGGGTTCAATAACTTAGAGGCTAAGAGATATGAAAATGCTTTTGTCAGACTCCCTCAATTTCTAACGGAGACAGAGCCTTAAAAAATGGGAGATAGGAGGTGGAACATCTAGTTACCTCCCCATCATGTCAAAACTGAAAGCTTCAACATCCCTGAGGCACCTGGTGGGAGAGGAGGAGTGGGGTAACAGACAATTGTTATTATCAAAATTACAGAATTGTTCAAGCTAAGTGAGAACAGCTGAATCAAATGCAAAAGACATGCAACGTAAGTTATAGATGTATTTGTTAGGTACGTTATTAAAAAAGCTTTTTGATAAGATAGAAAATATAAACAAATCAATGAGTTCCAGCTTAAGGAAAAACTGCTTCTACCAAATCCAAATTACACACATACACACTCACACACACACATACACACAAATGCATGTTTGTAGATATTTTTGGTTTTTTTACACAGTGCTTATCAGTGAGCCTGGAAGGGAGAAATGATTTCAAGAAAGTGCACGACTAATGAGTGGTGCACTCAGGACCAGGAGTGTTATTTCATCCCAGGTCCAGGGAAGAGAGGTGGGCCCAGGTGGGCCTCGGACGCAGGGGAGCGGGGGTGTGCATCTGACGTGCTTTGCTCCGCAGGCTGCCCTGAGCATCCACGGCATGTGTGGGGGACCGATGCTGGGCTTGTTTTCGCTGGGGATCCTGTTCCCTTTTGTGAACTGGAAGGTAAGGCCCCCATGCCCTCTTCACTCTTCCCGGCCAAGACTGGGCCGTGGCCGCTTCCTCTCTCTTCTCTCTCCCCCTTGGAAAGGCCATTTGTCTTTGCCAGGGAAAAATGGGGGCTTCCTTCCACAGTAGAACTAAAAAGAACCCTGGCCCTCCTGTCTCTGACTTTAGTGAAGCTGTTTTAGGAGCAGAAAGAAAAAAAAGGAAGAGGTGATCATGAAACACCATGTGTCATGGCATCAAAAGGATTCTTTAGGGTTTAAATTGTCTTCTCTAAATTGAGCCCACAAAATGAAATTTGAAATAGGTCTGAGATCAGAAATAGTTTAGTTAAAATACAATTTTCAAAACTTTAAAAATGTAAATTTTCTTCTCTATATTTAGTTACCCCAAATAATAACCAATGTAATTAAGTTAATTTCAGAAGGGGAGAAGACACCAGCCTGGTATATTCTGACAGCCGCACCTTCTTGGTTTTGCTGGCTGACAAGCTAATAGTATGCCTTTAAATAAATGTTGGTTGCATGATTGTGTAATGAGCATAAAGCAAAAGGAAAATTTATTTGGAAAAATAAGGTAACAATTTTTTTTAGTATTTAAAGTATCCTACTTTTTTCAATCTAATAAAATTGTCATTTTTTACTTATTGCCATCCATACACTTACATGCATACATTTTTAGAAAGTCTTTAGACTCTAGAAAACCTGACTATGCATATTTTTAATATACTATACGATTCTCAATAAAACCTGACTCACGTGGTATACCTAATTAGGTCTCTGTGGCTACTTGACCCTTACTGACCTCTCTTCTAGATGAATCTCATGGGGTTAGACAAAAATGGCGGATGGATATGGAACGTTTGGGAATTTACAGTGCTTCCCCTGCGGTCTCATTAGGAGACACTTTGTTTTAATCAACCTTTCTGATACTGAGGTTGACAAAGATAATTATATCCTCGGAGAGGTACCATGAGGGAAGGCAATGTCCTAGCCACAAAAAAAACCTAATAACTGGTAACATAACATCTCAGCGCATTTCTAAACATTAATTTATATATGTTAGTGAATTATAGTCCTTCTGTTTAGCCTGGGAAACCACCTTGTTCCAGGTAGAGGAAAGTAAGTATCACCAGTCTGGGTCACCTCTCCCCTAGTCACTGACCCTCGCCATCCCACTGATCAGTCATGGCCGTCTCTCTACGGAACGTAGATGCAGCCTCAGAATCCTTCTCAGCATGGCTCTCCAGGCAGCTACTACAAATCAGCAAGGGTTGAACCTCCTGTTAAAATCTGTTCACCCTTTACTGGTAGACCAGGGATCAGCACATTGTACCCCTCAAGCCAAATCTAGTCAATCTCCCAGGTTTTGGATGACCTGCCAGCTGAAAATGGCTTTGACATTTTTAAATGGTTGGAATAAAATTAGAAGAAGAATATTTCATGACACATGACTATTATAGGAAATTTTTATTTCTGTGACCATAAATAGTTTTACTGGAACACAGCCACTCTCCTGTGTTTACATACTGCCTATGGCTGTTTTTGTGCTGCAGTGACAGAACTGAGTAGTTATGACAGACACGTCATGGCCCACACCACCTAAAATATCCCTTAGCTGTCTGTTTATGATGGAAATGTGCAGACTCCTGGTCTAGACAAAGATAAAAGTATTCAAATCTCATACATTGCTTTGGTTTCCCCAAACAATAGTGAGCAGAATGTCTGGTGCTGTAATTGAAGAGTCTTTTTTTTCTGAATAGATAAACCAACCATGTTTTTCTGTCACAGAGAAGGCTCAGCTCTCTGGCCAAGACCAGGACCATCCAGATTTTAGTTTCCCGTGGTTCTGATCCCTGTAGATTGTTCTGTTTCCTTTACAGGAGAAATGACTTTTTAACTTTTTATCAAGAAGTAGAAGCCTTAACTGACAGGACTAGTAAATATGCTTGCTAGTATTTAGACTCAAATAAAAACTCCAAGCTTGGGAATCAGAGGACTTGACCAGAATCACTCGGGAAGAAATATGGGAGTAAAAATTTCCATATAACGGACTATAATGTCTATAATGACTGTCAGTGAAAAATGTCCACATCTCTCCGTTATCTGATGTTTTCCTGAACTTCTGAAACTCTTCTATTGGGAACTGAGGTTTAACAGATTTTTAAGTGATAAGAGGAAGAAGCCAAAAGGAGAAAAAAAAATTCCTGCTAGGAATTTATATATAATGACCATGATAAAATCCTCCAGTGTCTTCATTTAAGGAACCATTTACTCCTAAATAAAACCACATTGTGGTCAGTTTGAGTGGACTGTTTCTAGCACATGTGGCCAAGACTTGGGTGAAAAGTCAGAATCCCTGAGACACGGACTCCTCATCTCATTATTTTTTCAATGATTTTGTCAAATCTCTCATTAACTTTTTTTCCTTCATCAAGGGTGCACTTGGAGGCATTCTGACTGGAATCACCTTGTCATTTTGGGTGGCCATTGGGGCCTTCATTTACCCTGCTCCAGCCTCCAAGACATGGCCTTTGCCTTTATCAACAGACCAGTGTGCCCCATCAAATGCGACAGAAGTGGTGTCTCCAGGGATGTCCAACAGGTATGCCTCCCTTAAAGATGGTGTCCAGTCCCAGAGGGAGGGTGACCAGGTTAGAGAAAGGAGGCACTTCAGCGCTCAGTCTGACCAGACCAATCTTGCTCTCCTGTGAGAATTGCTCTGGGTGGTACCCAGCACTGAAGAGAGCTAGGGAGGCTCCAGCTCTCTGTAGCTGTCCATTCCTCTGTATCCTGGTGCCCAAGAGTGAGCTTGGCAAGAGGGTTCACTGGTGGTCCCATACAAAACCAAAAAAATTGTAGAGGGTTTGAAAATAGGTCGATAAATAAGAAGATCAAAGTGTCATTAAAAAAATAAAATAAAGGATCTGCATAGACTAGGTTTGTGGGCAGTGAGGAGACTGACTGTGGACACATTGAATTAAAAGCTGTGTACTTATAGTTTCTAAAGCAGATGATACAGGGTTTGACGAAGGATTGCCCTTTCTATTTCTGGCTGTGATGAGTAACTTGAGATACTAAAGTTCAGATACCAATTTTTAAAATAAAAACAAAGCACTCACATGATTCGCTGGCTCTGAGAGAATGTAATCCTCTCCGTGTCACATTGCTCACCACCTGCCTATTATAAATGGACAGTTTTCCCAAAGGTATGAAATGAAACAAGCTGCCTTTGGATCTTGTTCTTGCTAAGAATCAGCAGTGGCTTTACAGGACACTGGTGACATGACAACAAAAGCATCACGCCACTGAGAGGAGACACGCTCTAAGGTGTGAGGTCTGTGCCTGGGGTCCATTTGCATCATTCTGTTGTCAAGTCCACCTGAAACACATTTTACAGACAAACAAAATCAACCAATTTATAGCGTTCAGATCCTTTATGTTGTTCCTTCCTTCCCGCCTGTGCTTTTTCGGTCTTCTTTTCTTGGAATGCTAAATCCTGGCCCTGACTATCTTCTTTGCTTGATTAACGACTAACCATTCTTTAAAAACAAGCTGAGGTAACAACTCACACTTCAGCCTGGGTTTGATGCTCTTTCTGAATCCTCCCCAAATCCTCTGCTCCTCTTGACCACGGCATTACCACTCCATCTCATGAATCTTAACTCCTAGATGTCGTCTTTGTGGCTTACTCATCATTTAATCTTCAATGTCTGTGACAATTTCTGGCAGCACTAAATCTGGGCTTAGTTGATGTCCAAAGAATAAATAATACAAAAGAAATGGAAGGCACGGTCCTCATTGCAGTTGTAGTTCAGTAGCAATAAGTCTAAGATGGATTGGATTGAGTGGAATAGAAAGCACATCTGGTCTACAGGCGACTCTTTAAAAGATAACTAAATGACAAAAAGTTAAGATTTGGGGTTTTGAGAGATGCCAGGCCCCAAAATGAACCCCTACAGTCCTCTGAGTCCCTGTGAATCACAATGCTGCACTCACAGGACTGGTGACACGTGCTGTTGTCCTCCACAGACCTGCAATCGCTGAGACCTGGTATTCGCTCTCCTACCTTTACTACAGTGCAGTGGGCTGGCTAGGATGCATGGCTGCTGGAGTGATCATCAGCTGCATAACAGGTCGGTTATCTGGGTTCCTCTTGTTGGGGCCAAGGAAGACAAGGGCTAGGCTCCTGCACTGGTGGACTAGATGACTATCTTATGGGTGTGATTTTGGGTCCGCCATGAAAAGCCCTTTTTCCCAGACGGATAGATCTACTCTCTCCCAACTGACATGCAAAAGCATCACCCTGATTATTATACATATGATTACAAATATATATATATAAAATATTTTAAAATATCCCCCATATATTATGGAAAAAAAAGTGACACATGTTCCCCAGAGGTCTAAATATGAAAACTCTTGTGTAATGTGTCAGTAAGAAGGTTAAATATTAGGAGTGGTTCTTCCCCACTTCATCTCAGTTTTTCCCCCATAACCCCCCTACTACCTCATGGGCTAGCCTTTACTAACTCACTAGGTAAGCAGAGGAGAGTCTTACTGTTGCTGTTGCATATGGTGCCCTTGGAGGCCACCACTCTAGTGCCAGGAGCACCATAGTGAGCGGCTTCACTCCAAGCCATTTTTGGAACCAGTGTTGACTCTCTTTAAGCCATAGTCCCTCTGATGGTTCAGTGTCCTTTTTACGCCAAAGCCCATGAGGGGTTGGTGAGGGAGGATGGTATGGACTAGGCCCACTGTAATCTTGCTGCTCTGCCTCCTTGAAGCATGCATTTTAGCTGACTAAAATATTACGAAGTTCTAGTTTTCCCACTACCATTACGTAGTCACAGGCTATGTGGGAAGTCAAGATTCTTGCTTAACACATGGTCTGAATGACGATATTCCTGGTGCCTGGAGACACTGCATGCATGTTCCAATGCCTTATTATGCTGGGCAAGATACCACCAGCTATTCACTTAAATTTAAGCCAGTCTTGGGTATGACAAAGACTTGAACATAATTTTTGTAACCCTAGCTGGTCACGTAGTGACAACTCCCCAAATATCTCTCTTTATGTAAGTGGACTGGAGTGAAAGGTTATTTATAATGTTTAGATTTTTCCTTGGTACCCCAAGAACATGGAGACTTCCTTGATGCTAACAGGATACACCTAGACTTACCAGTCAAGTGGTCAGTCACCTTTGGAAGACAGCAAAAGTTTTAGTGGCCTGGTTCCAAAGCAGGCGTTGTGAGCATCACAGATTCCAGGCACTTTCCAGGTGCATGTTGGCAGTGACATGTTCTTGTGTTTATCAAGTGACCGGAACCTCCCACCATGAGGACCCTGTGTACGGGTTTATGCTATTCTGTTTTCCAGTGTGCGGTAGTTTGTACTCATGCGAATTTTGATCATTTTTTTCCCCTCTGTTATATAGCTGAAGGTCTCAGAAATAAGACCTTTAGTTATCAATTCATTAAATGTATCTCTTAGGTCAGATGTCAGCAAACTAAGAACGCATCTGGCCCATTACTTCTTTTTACAAATAAAATTTTATAGAACACACACACACAGTAATGCCTATTCACTTACTGTTGTCTATGGCTGACTTCCCTTTCCAAAGGTGGAGTTGGCTAGTTGCAGCAGAGACCCTCTGGCCATATAGTTATTATCCACACATCACGATTCCTGACAATTTAGGATGTAATCCAGATAGTACCTCTGGCAAGATCAAAGATCCAGCACGGAGGTCAGGAATCCTTTGCTGTTAAAGCTAGATGGTAAATACTTTACGCTTTGCTGGCCAAGAAACTTTGGCTCCACAGCAGAGTTGAAGCAACTGAACATTGAGCAGACTGCTTAGTGGAAGGGAAGGAGATGTCAGGAAAGTCTAGAGTAGCTGGAGGGAGCATGAAAGTAGCATTTGTTCAGGATGCTGGGGTGGAAGGAAGAAAAAAAAAACAGTAAAAAGAATCTCCCTAATTTCACTAATTTGACTCTGCTGACCTCTAATGTACCCAATTTGGTTGAAAATGAGAGCTTTCCTGAAGGAAGAAATTACACAGTTCTTGCAGTCTCCTTTGCTGGCCTATAAAGGGTAGTAGGAGGGCTTTCCATAATAAATATATGTCTCCATTGGTTTAACTGTATAGCCGTGAGCTTGCCTGACCTGACAGTTTGTGGATGTTTAAGCTAACTCTCACCTTTTTGAACAGCTATCAATTTCTGACCTACTTCTCAAGTGGACAATGCTTAAATCCTTAAAGGAAGTCCTGGAAGCGTGCAACCACCTAACCCATTGTTCCTTTTGTTAATAGGTTTCCAAAGCGGCAGGGATGTTCCACCACTGCTCATTAGACCAGTCTGCAATTTATTTTGCTTTTGGTCTAAGAAATACCAAACTCTGTGTTGGTGTGGAGTTCAGCATGGCAGTGGAACAGAGCAGGTGAGCTGACGTCTGAGCTTCTGAAAATTATGAATTGGCTCAAAAGGATTCCCTTTCTGCCCGTTTAAACCATCTGGAAAGGTGGATGTGGGGAGGGAAGGTGGTGAATATGAGAACCTGAAAGTGTCTGGGTTTCCACTTCAGTTGTCTCGGGGAACTAGTGTTTAAGCACATACATATGTTGATAGGTAAATGCACCTTTGGGACGAATTGTTGGCATTGCAAGTGATTGAGTTCCAAAATTCCCTTTAGCCATCCCCTGCCAGGAGGGTAAATCTAGGAAAATATAAAAATGAATAATAAAATAGGGGGCCCAGTCTAGAATATTGGTGAAAAGTCTGGGCTTGGGTCAGCCCCGGGTTTAATCCCGGTTCCATGTCTAACTTTCCCTGGGTGAGTTATTTAACCTCTCTGAACTTCAGCTTCTATCTGAGAACTGGGGGTAGATCAGGCGGCCTCATCTGGACGTGAACATGTCTAGTGTACCACGGAGGGTAAAGACTGATTGGTAGGATGTCTCATGTAGGGAAGCAGCAGGATGCACACAGCCTCCCAGCTCTCCCCTTCCCAACCAGGAATCGTGTTTCAGGCAGACAGGGCTGGCGGCGTGGTTGATTAAGCTCTAGAGATGCTGTCCAGGTGCTGTCAAGGTCCCATCAGCCAAAGACCACCAGGAATAGCCTGTGGTCGGACCAGATTGGACTTACTGACTTGATACAGCAAGGGGGTGGGGAGCCAGGGAGCGCCACCCTCAGCAAGAAGGTATAATTTGCGTTCCCACTAAAGGATGCTAAAGAGTCTAAGTAAGGGAGGCGGGAATGAAAGTAAAGCCATCTGGGGCATAACTGGTTAAAGAGCAGGACTCGCTCGGTAAGCTATTCTGGCATCGTGAGATCTACAGGCCCTTCCTTGGGAGAAGCCGTGTTTCCTGTTAGGTTTGCACCTGGTCTTTGTGTCCGTCCTCTCAGCCTGATTAAGGGCAGGATTCATGATCATTGTAGTTAGGGCTTATTCCCCATCTTCCAGTGCCAGGCATCTCACTCTTCTCGTACTCTAGGGGAGGGGCTCTGCACTCCTGCCACGACATCGAAGCCGCCACGTTCTCGCCTTCCCCCGAACACCGCAGTAACACGCAGGTGAAGGGAAGCTGAGCGTCACAGTGGCTGCAGTCAGGAGAGCGCCGTCCTGACAGAATGGGGAGGCCATCTGTTTGCTAAGAAGGCAGCTGGCTGAGCAGTGTATTGTTTGGATAAGAGGATTTTCAGGAAGTTCTAGAAGGAGAGAATCAAGTTATTTACTGCTTTACAGACTTATCTTCCTGGACACGCGTTTCCTGGCAGAAATGAGAAGTCTTGTTGATGCAGGCAGCTTCTGTTCTCAAGGCTGAGTCAGGACTGGCAGGGGACACTTAAGGTGTCACAATTGGGTTCCTTCACCAAAGGATAACATGGAGCAGCCTCCTGGGGGGGTGCATGCAGGGACCCCTGCTGTGACAGAGGCGCTGCTGTCCACAGGAAGGAAGGGGGCCTCCACCCTCTGGGAGAGAGCCGGCTTTGTCCCCCCTCAGGGGTAATACCACAGGACGGCCCCACTAGATGAGTCACCTGTAAGCTTCTTCACACCTCACATTGGTGTCTTGTAAATGCTCACAAAATTGTTCCTTCTGTCTTCACCATCATTAGAAATAGTACCTACATCGGAGACAGCCACGCTACCCAGCAGGAAGCGCCTGGGGTCAGAGTGACCTGTGTTGCTTTCATATCTGTCATTTTTCTCAAGGCGGGGTGCTAAGCGAGATGTGCTCATTTTGATTTAGAATCCATCAAGATCACCCCACTAATATGTGTCTTTCCATTTTCCGCAGGAGAACCTTGAGCAGGGCAGCACCTGGAAACCAGGGGCTGAACCTGTCTTCCAGAATGGCCTCGGGCGAGAAAGCCTGGCCCACGTTCCGGGCTATGACCCCAAGGACAAAAGCCACGACAGCATGGCGGTGGAGAAGATTACCCATTTCTAAGGCAACACACACGTCCACACACACACACACACAGTCCACATACTTCTTGCCTATTGGTCAGTAGATTTGTGTAGTTGGCACTGCTAGAAGACAGGGATGTCTAATGTCTATTTATACTTATTTATGACTACAAATAGAATGACCGTTCCCCAGAATATTCCAAAGGCTATTCTTTGAAAGACCCCACTCTCAGGTGAGAAAAAAACAGCCAAGGCTTAACTGCCCCGGCAGCTTTTTGGAATAAATTAGGGCTTGATTTCATCATGACGCAAGATTCCATCTCTTTCCTTTGTATTATGATACACTTCAGGGATTTTGTTTGTTTGTTTGTTTGTTTTTTACAGTTTTCTCTCTTTTCAACCATCAAATATCTTGGAGTTTGCAAAAGGGGAGATGCATATGAAATGCTTCTCTGACTCTGCTGGTAAGACAAGGGGATGACACCCGGCCCAGCCCCCATACCTCCCAAATGTGTAGACTCATTTCACATCCCCTCATGCTGCAGGTGTAGTTGGAACACTTAACTGCTTTTAACCTCCCTCCCATCAACCCCCATACACGTTTAAGTCCTTTTCCAGGCATTCTTGCTGTTACAGCTGCCCTAACCAAGCCTGACAATTAATTTTGCTCAGCATGGGAGGAGAGCCTGACAGGTGTGGAAAGTGGGAGCAGTTACAACTAAGTGTCCTGCTCAGTTTGCGCTGAGTGTTGTGTGTCTTGATCCTTTCTGTCACCTTCCAATGAAAAGTTCACTCTGTGCTCAACAAGAAGTCTGGAGTCTTTCTTTCTGTAGGGCTGGGTGAAGAGGAGCGGGACATCCTATCAGAGGCTATTTGTATAGCATTGTGTAAAAGAACCTTGCACAGAGCTTACCAGCCCGCAGGGGATTTCCCTGGCCACGGGGTTAGCTTTGGTGCTGAATATCTTGTCCATAGGATTTCTACTCCTTCATTCAGCTCACACTTGCCAGCTCAGCGCGTTCCATCAGGCTAAGGTGGCTGAAGTCAGGATCTTAATAGTTGAGCTCTAGAAAATAATTTTTAAAGCTCTGGAGGAAGAGGGTACCACAGATCAAAAAGTGAGTTAACAAATGGAGAGGCAGTGAAAGCTTTCTGGAGGAAGCAAAGAAATCGAATCCTTAAAAGATTTAAAAAAAAAAAAAAAAGGTGTCCCGGGGCTAGATCAGAGGAAAGATAGGAGGAAACAAAACAATGTCTCGGTATCAGCTATATTAGGGCTGGTTTCAGGTATTTATTTTGGTGGCCAGGTAAGATTAAGAGACCTAGAAAGAGTATGTCAGCAAAGTAAGAAGAAATGGTCCAAGAGGCAGGGATGAGCAGTCTCAAAGGCTGTGTTGTTTAAATGTTAAACAGGAGGAGAAAACCTTAAAAGAAGCATAAGATAGAAAAAAAAATTGATGTAGCCAGTGTTTATTATTAGGGAAGGAAGATAGAAAGAGGGGAATCAATCAGTAGAGGAATTTAAAAACACAGCTGGCGTTTATAAGCCACAGCCCTACGCCTGCCTTCTCCACCCTCAAAGAGGAGGAAGAATAATGAGAGAGGAAGAGAGATTCGGGTGGTTTATCAGAGAGATGAGAAAAATATGTTTTGAAAAAGGAGGAAAGAAGTGGCAAGGGGGTATGTTTGGGAAAATATGTGAAAGTGAGAAGGAACAGAATTTCAAGAAGTATTTTTGAGGTCCAGGAAGCTAATGAAGGTGTTGATCTAAGGATTTACAAGTTGAGAAGTGCAATACTTTTCCAAATGACTTAGGAGTTAGGAAGTTCTTATCACTTAGAATGGCAGACAATATATAAAGTGAATGTTGAAATCTGGGCCAAACCTCATCGGCTGAGTGAATATGATAGAGAAGGCAAAAACGCAAGCCTGAGGATAAGAATTAGACTAACAGTAGCCATATACATTTATGAAATTTGGAATACAGCTTTCTGTTGGAATTGCACACAACCAAACTGTACCACAGAATTTTTCATTTTGCTCACAAATTCTCTCATGCATTTGACTCCTAAATTATCCTGCAGACATTTCACTAGCTCAGTACTTTCCAGAAAGTTTTTTTCAGATCCATTTTCCTTTCCAGTCACTAATTCTTTCACCTGGAATGTTATCAAAGCAGAACATGACCTGTGAACGGAAGATACTATTACATTGTTGTAAAAACGTCTCTGTCTTCTCTCACGTAATGGAACCCGTGGCATTAGGAGGTAATATTTCAAGAGCTTTTAGAGGTCAGCACAGGGATCCGTCCTGAGGTAGGGGGGCAGATGGGAACCCACTGGAGGACCATCTTCCACCGTGTGTAGAAACCACGTTTGCTGTGTAGCTTAGTATATGCATTCCTGAAGTTGTTTGAAATTAGAAATAAGATAAACATAATGTACAAATTAAAAGTCATATTATATATTCCCAAACAGTAGCCTTTTCAATGCCGAGTTTAAATAAAGTATGACTTTTCTGGACAGTAACTTTTTTCTAAAGGTCTTAAATTCTTGAAAAAAGAAAAGAAAAACTACCGCTTTAAAGATAGACAAGTTTATTACTGAAAAGTGCAGTATTGATATTTGTGATTTAAGTATTACATCTGTAAATGTAAACCTTGATAAGTAAACAGAATCTCAATGCGTTTATCACTCGTTGCACAGTTAACAGCCACCGTGATTCTCTGAACAAGAGAAGGGGGTAGGGACTTTTCCTTTCGTTTAATTCAAATACATTTTTCTTTAATATAAATTTCATTATTTTGCAATTTTATGGGGTTCTACGATTTCATTCTAAAGAGAAAAGAAATGAACCACAGACCAGGGGTCTTGCAAACAGTATTTCAAAGTGAGTATTACTGAAATATTTTTATGCTATTACAAATTCAGTCAAAATTATTACAAAGATCAGATTGGCAAATAGAAAAAATAGAAGAGTCCCCCTTGAATTGTTCTTTTAGAAAGAAATTGTTTTAAAATATTACAGACATTTTAGTGCTCTCTATATACATTCGTGTATTTAGAAATCTCATGTGCTCAAATCTCAATATTGCAATGTAACTTAAGTTTTCTGTAGATTTAACCTTTTTAATCCAACATTAGTAACCTTGAAGTATAATCTGTTTTCAAAGAAATTTAACTGATACTACTAAATTGATATATATTAAAATACACAAAATTTTAAATTAAGCAAGTGTAAGTCAATTGATAGTACATCCCCTACTGGGTTATTTTTATGTGTAATTCTTGGAAAGAGTTAGCGCCATTATTTCCCTCTTCATTCCAATCTCCTGACCAAACCAATCTAGATTTGCAAACACCTTTGCAAATAGCAAACACTTATAAGCTTACTTATCTATTATTGCATTTTGGTGTTTGAAATAGCAGCAATCTTCAGAAGACAGACTTAAGGTTATAAATATTTGGCTAATTAATCACAAAATGGCCCTTACTTGGGGTGTCAGAATGTCAATGTCCTCCCTATTAGACTCTTGCAATGAATTAGATAATGATCCCACCCTCTGATGGAAAATGTCAGTTGATAATGACATATCTGTATATTTGTAGGATATTTAAGATGGTATGTTTTTTATTTCCAAAATTGTGTGCAGCTTTTCCATAGAGCCCTGGAATGCTACTAAATTTTATACTTTACACAACTACTTAATTTTAGGAAAAAAACACCTGTAGTATAAGTGCAGATTATACTAAAAGTAAGTTCTTTTAAAAGTAAGTTCAGCTAGAAGTGCATTCAAATGATCAGTGTGAATATTCTCTGCAGGGTTAAGAGGGGGATGCAAAATAGTTATCTACCCTAAAATCTTTCATAAACAATTGAGTAAGGCAGGTCTACCAAGTGACCAAGGAAACATATGTCAAAATAAGGTTTGACATATTATATTACATGACTTCTTTTTCAGTGTTTTGGATAATACTTGAAACATTTGGACTGCCCAGGGCTTAGGACACACACACACACACACACACACAGAAGTAAACATTAAGAGGATTTTATGACAATACATAAGTTACTATAACTCAAGAAAAGCAATACATAATGGTGATATCATTTATGAACCTGACATATTTGTCCTCAGGAATCTTCGGAAACAATAATTCATCTGTTTTTTAAAAGTGTTAAAGCAGGTGTGTACACAGGTATTCATAACTTACAGTTCCCACTGATAGAATCTGCTTTGACACATTTGAGAAGCCAAGAATAATGTCATGTGGTGTACTGATTTAAGGCCCTAGTGTAACAGCCATGTAAGAAAATAAATGAGCAATCCCCAAATTGCTTATTTGTAACTGTGTAATAGAAACAGGCAGGATTTGGAAAGAACTGAGCCATCACACAACGTTATTGACTGATTCAGAATCTATATTATAAAGGCTTAGGAATCTTTACTGTCACTCCTTTCAAGAATGCTGACCCCAAGATGCCACCTAAAAATTGATTCAGTCTATTTCAACAGAGCAAAGAGCTACCTTAAATTGACTTTTAAATTTCTTATGAGAGTTAGAAGGAATGTTTAATGATTAATAATACACAAATAAATATATATATTAATATTTGTAGAGGAACATGAGAATAAAAAGAAAAAAATCAGTATTTATAATCATCTGCCTATGTGATATGGTCCTATACAACTGCAGCATAATTTCTTTTAAGAATGGAAGGAAGTGTTTGGAGAATGCCACTCTGTCTCTTCTGGTATGCCCCCAATTCCCTCTTCAATTATAGGTTCTAACAGTTCTTTCCTACGTGAAAAATACAATATAGAGGCCAATAACCACACATCCCAGGAGAATAAAATTGCATTTAAGTACATTTCATCTTCAACATCAAAAATTGAGACATTTATTCTTTGGTTAGAGTAGCTGAAATCTAAACTTACTAGATTTAGCTTCATAAATCTTAAAATAGACAAGAAAAAAAGGGAAAAATACAAGACAAAAACTTTATTTTTTCTTCATGTTCAAAGATGAACTAAATTGCAATGTTTTTCAATCAGAAATAAGGCAGAGTATGGGGGTGGATACTGAAACCGGATCTGCAAAATAGACATTTTTGCTCTGGTAGGAAACTCCCTTGTTCCCCACCATCCCCAAAACATTGCTTCCACAGTTATCTTTGCCATCAGATTTTTTTCTGCCGTTCAAGCCCCTTCTTTTCACTTACAGAACAGCATCCCTCCAAAGTTCAATGGTTCAGAATCAGTGGGAGCATTTGCTCACATGACTTGTCAGCAAAGATACTAAATTTGGCCTGAAGCATTCACCTGGTAGCACTGAGAGGCATCGACATTGACAAAATCATTCCAAAGGTTTGGAGGCAGCTTAAACACCACATGGGGCGAGGCAGCCCCGTGACAGTTATTTTTGTAGGTAATACCTCAGTAGAGCTCACTAGGTTTTGTTTTTCAGCTTGTAACTTAGGAAATGTTTGCTTTCTGAAAAACAGAGCAAAGACATTGCTTTTCCCACAGAGAGTGAGAATTGTGATGGAAATACATATTCTGAAGCAGTCAATGCAGGTATATGCCTGAGAATCTCACCCCCTTCCTTCGTAGGGAAAGTATGAAGCAGAACCTCCCCCCCAGCTGACGGCCCAGTGTGCAAGGCTCCCACCTTGGGACAGTTGTTCAGGGAACAACAGGCTATTTCTAGGGACAGTGTGCTGCAGCGCACGGTGGGGCAGTCACGGAGCAGCAAGGTAGGATGTATAGACTTCCTCTCCCTGAGGGGGACTGTGATGGGCCAAGAAAGTGCATCGGGTCTCAAATATGAGTCTCTTCTCCCAACCTGCCTGCTTTCATTGTACTTTCCTGAAAAGGAAGCCTTCATGTGGACGTGGCTACAATGCGGTGGCCGTGGTATTCGTGTTCTCTCAAATGTGGCTGTGGGTGTGGTTTCTGAGATGAACCCAGGTAGGAAGTACTCCTGAAGGCAACTTACCACGACCCCAAGTGCATAAACCCCAAATGGCAGGAATCTAGGCCCAGTCAGTCTTCCCCTGGGACTCTGTTTTCTTGCCACATTTCACCTTGAATAGAAATGTCTGTAAGGAAATGCTCACTTTTTCACCAGAACTGGGTTTTTCAGGCTGTTCCCAAAATGTTCTCTTCGGAGCTGCTGAGGATACCAGGAAGGACGGAAGATGTTAACTGATTCCCAGAGTGAAACTCACAACTCTCCC